AAAGTGATAACAGACGGACAGCCCAAGTGCTGCACAAATACCCACAAACTGTTAACAGTACATTAAGTAAATCCTCTACAAAGGATTATGGGAGGGCATGGATAAGGATTGAAAAGGATGAAAACACAGGGATGAGTTATGATTTGCATCAATAGGGTACATCAATGAGACCACGGACCTACTAAAGTAATGAATTATTTTCCATAATCTAGTTCATAATTTGCATTCATTATAAATGTCAAATAATTTACATGTGTAAATGTTCTATTACTCCTTCCTATATTTTCCATTCCAAATGAGCGTATTATGATTCACATGGAGAATCACCCAACTGTCTCCACAGTCAAGAGTCAAAAAGGTTCCTTCATATTTTTGAAAGCCTATTCTAATATGGACACAATAGAAGCTGTGGGCAGAGAACACCTGGACTTCTCTACATTACCTGTCCCCACCCCATCTTGACTTCATGCTGTTATGTTCACAGTATATGTATAATGCCATTATAGTAGTATTGCAAATAGGCACCAGGAAAGAAAGAAGGGACAGTACGCTCCCACAAATCCCCTATTTGACTCAGGAGATAAGACAGTCAGGTTATATAAAATTTCTATATCAAAATTACTCTTTACTGCTTAAATCTGTTTCCTCTTATCCTTTTCTCAGTGGTTTATCATTTATATACATATATATGTCTGCGTGTATGTATGTATGTATAATACCCCTTCATAATTTTGTATAATTATTATTATTAAATGACCCCTCTTTCCATTCTACTCTTTAGGCAAAATAACCCCCAAATGTCTTAAGGACATTTCTTCTCAAGCCCATTTCCTAAATATGTAATTATTTGTTAATATTTTTGATATCCTGGGGCAACTAGGTGATGCTGTCGATAAAGCATCAGCCCTGGAGTCAAGAGGACCTGAGTTCAAATCTGTCCTCAGACACTTACAAGCTGTGTGATTCTTGGCAAGTCACTTAACCCCAACTGCCTCCCCCACTCCCAAAAAACAAAAACAAAAATATATAGTTTCTGTTTCCTCTCCATATCTTGCCTTAGACAGGATACAAAATAACATTATATTTTACATTGCTGACTGCTATTTGCCATAAATGTTATGCATTCCAATACCATACCAATTTTATCCATGGTTCTGCATTACTAATATATGTTTAACACCATCAGTAGCATTGTACTTGACAATCTTTTCAAGCACTATTATTACTATTTTGCAACTGGGGTATTCTTTGAGATAGCATTCATCTTAGGACATCTTGATAACTGTTTTTTGTCACATTAGAACTAGGTATTTGGTAAATGGTATGTGTAAGTCCATCATATGAGAGTGAGTGTCATTCTAAATACTTTCAAGGCTGTCATCACCCTCTAGTAGACTTAACCTCACAAAGAGAAGGGGAAGGGGAAAGGGAGAAGGAAAAAGGGGGAAAGGGAAAAGAAAAGAGAAAGGAGGAAAAGGGAGGGGAGAATAAAGAAAAGGGAAAGGAAAAGAGGAAAAGGGAGGAGGGAAAGAGAAACAGGGAGAAGGAAGAGCAAATGGGGGAGGGGAAAAGGAAGAGTAGAAGTAGAAAAGAGAAGAGGAAAGGAGAAAGAGAAGGTAGGGAAAAAAGAGGAAAGAGGAGGGAAAAGAAGGGGGAAAGGAGAAAGGGAAAGGGAAAATGAGGAAGGGGAAAGGGGGAAGGGAAAAGGAGAGGTGAAGGGGGGGGAGGCCATCAATAAGGTACAGTCCACTACTTCCCAAAGTAGCCTATTTCACTTTGAAATAGCTCTACTGGTTGGGAAATTTTTCTTTACATAAAGAAAATTTCTTTCTTTGTAACTCCAACCCATTGCTCCTAATTCTGGAGAAAATCAAATCTTTTCTCTGTGTAATAGCCCTTTGAGTATTTGAAGTCTGCTATTACATTCTTTCTAAGTCTTCATTTCTCCAGGCTAAACATTCCCAATTCCTTTAGCCAATCCTGACATAGCAAGAACTTGAGGCCCCTCACCACCCTACTCTGGGTCTGTATGTTTGTGTTTGTGATTTAAGATGAGGGGGATGCCGCGCATAAGGTAAACTCCCCAAGTGCAGAAACTTTTTATTTTTTGTTTTTGTAGCCTACTTGCTTGGCACAAGTACTTAATAAATGCCTATTGAATTGAATTATCCTCTTCTAGTCCTCTCCAGCTTATCATCAAAATATCCTTCCTCAAATCTGATGCCCCGAACTAACACAACACTCAAGATATAGTCTAACCAGAGCAGAGGAGAGCAGGAATATTACATCCATAGTCCCAGATATTGTGTTACTTAATACAGCATATGATTGTGTTGACTTTTTCAGCTTCCATAGCACAAAGATAACTAAAACCCTCAGATCTTTTTCTAATGAGCTGTTGTCTAGCCCCTATCTTGTACCTGAATAGCAGATTTTTGTAACCCAAGTAAGCTCTAATCCATTTATTTCTATCCCTTCTATTATTGTCACTACAGTCATACGTGACCAGCCTTGGAAAATAGAACTTAAAGTCAGGTATCAGGATTAAGGTGAAAGGTGAGAAAGGGAAACATCAAAAGGAGAACACTCTGTGACTATCACCATCTCTCAGAATCACACATCATAAAAAATTCACAACTTGTAAATTCCACTTTCTAACGACAACCTTCTAGCTGTCCACTTTTCTAGCTCTCTCTCACACTAGACCTATTCTTCACCCTCACCATAACATTCAACCCTTTAACCCACACATAGCCCTCTGGTCCATCTCTTCCACTCTGGCTTATATGTCTTGTCTTCTTAACCAGTCTTGACTCCAAAGCTTCTCTAAGGTTTACTAGCTATTACTCTAAAAGCTCTTACTGTTCCAAATCTGCAAACATCTTATCCCTAGGTAAGTCTCACATTCTGACTTCTTTATTTCTGCCAAAGCTACCAAGCAACACTGGCAATTTAAAATTTTTTTTCATTCATTACAAACTCATAGTACATAAATTTTATCTGGAATGTCAACAGACCTTTTACTCTACCCTTGATTTTTTTAACCTCATTTCCCACTGTCACTATTCCAAACTTTTTCTCCTCTACTCTAACAATTACACTTCCATCACAACTCACCCCCATTCCTGCCCCACCATGAGCACAAACACACTTTTATCAGATGGCCCAGTGTCCTTTTTCACAAAAAAGATTAAGACCGTCCACTACGAGCTCACTTAAACCTGTTCCATTCCTCAAACCTCAGCAGCATGACCCTTTCTGTCCCTCTAGTCACGGAAGACAGAGATATCCCTACTCTTTAGTAAGTCTAATCACTACTTCCTCCTAGTCTCTCTCACCTCCATCAGGACCAGTGGTCAGTCCCTCTCATTCACTGTCACCTGTTATAACTGGCTCATTCTCACCTGCCTACCAAGATACTCAAGTCTCCAAAAATCTAAAAAAACCATATGTGGGCCTTTCTAATTTATTCAGCCCATTCCATCTCATCTCTTTTCTCTTCTTCATTGCTAAGCTTCTTGAAAAATGTATCTATACAGTACTTAATGTTTTCACTTTTTTACTATCCATTCAAATCTTTTGTATTTGGGCTTAGTACACCACTCTGCTGAATTATTCTCAGAGTTCAAAGGATTTCTTAATTGCCAAATTCAATGATCCTTTCTCGATATTCATATTACTTCCCCTTTGTTCATCTTCTGACACTATTAATCATCCCCTCCTATTTAGTAGTTCCTTATTTCCGTCTATGGAGCCATCTTTTCTACCTTCCTATGTTCATAGTACTGTAGCTATTGTTGGAAAATTGTATGATAACTATTCCCTCTACCTCACCGTTCATATATAGACAGGAGGTCCTATAAATTTTATTCACAAAACACCTTAATACAGGCCCTCATTACCATCTCTCTGAATTAATGCAATAGCCTAAAAAGTCTTCCTACTCCTACTCTCTCAAACCCTCCAATCAATCCTTGAAAACATAAAATGTATCCCTAGCCATAGATTTGTTCATATTCAAAAATCTTCAGTGGGTCTCAACTGCCTCCTGAATAAAGTTTACATGCATTCAAGGCCCTCTACCACCTGGCACCATCCATCTTTCACAGACTTCTCTCATATTGCTCCTCAACACACTCTATGTTCCTGCTGATAATCTGGACAAGCTTTCTATCTCCTCAAACACATTGTGCTCTCATACCTCCATGCTTTACTCACACTTTCCCCTATAACGGGAATGACCTCTCTTCATCTAATTCCTAATTATCCTCTAAAACCTAACTAAAATGTCATCACCTCCATAAAACCTTTCCTGATTTCCCTCACTGGTAATGCCCTTAGACCTCATCCAGTTGCTTGCATTTTAATACCTTAATGTACTGCTTATGTGACATTACATGTTATAGCTACTGATGTTGGTACCTTATAACTCTGGGGAAATGTAAGCCCTGTATGGACAGTGGTTGTATCTGATCAAAATCCTTTATTATCTCCTTTGTCACCTAGCACAGTTCTCTGCACAGATATAATGTATGCAAAACATTCTGCAGTCTTTAAAATCGCCATATAAATGTCAACTATTAGTTAATGCTTATTATATTTGCATTAAGAGACCTAAGCATTCCAAAAATAAAAGGTTAGTTCCTTATGATAAATGAAAAAACTTCCTGGTTTAAAAGGCAATTCAAATGTTAGATTACTGTAGTAATATTATATGTTGTTTGTGTTTTATCTAAATTATTATGCACTACTGAATTCCTAGTTACCCCTCCTGGAAATAAAATTTTCAAAAATATAAAGCTAGGCTTCACTAAAATGTAGTCCTTAATACAGAGTCTAAAAATCAAGAAAGCTTACTATGTAATCTTAGAAACACAACCCAATTTTTAAGTATCCTGAAAATGTTCATGGTTTTCAAAATCTCTTCCTTTATCTCTACAGAAATATTGGCAGTTTTTAGAAAAGATCCTTTAGAAAAAAATATAAAAGAATTACACTACCTTGTTACTTTGCAGCTAGATTCAATCAAGTCATTTTCAAACTCAAGAAGGCTGTTAGGCAGATTATATTCTAATGGTGATGTCAGTCTTTTCAATCGGAATAAACCAACACAAAACTTTGCTCCCATCTCTTCCAATTCTCGTGTCCCAATCTGTAAACCCTAATAGAGGAAATAAAAAATACATATGCAGTTAAGGTGTAATAACTGCTATCCTTTGGCTATAATTCATATTGGTTTAATATAGAAAATAAAAAGAACTGCATAATCACTTTTAAAAATATAACTAAGTTAGAGCTTGGAATTGCATTTAAGACATGCACTAAAATGTTTATTAACAACATGTCATAGGATCAGTGTAGGGTACAGATGAAACTACCTATCCTGAGAGACTAGATATCTATTGTGCATGACCTTTTTAAAAAAAGTTACTTAAATCAAGACTAATGGAAATATGATAATAAAAACAGAGCAAAGGATTCTCAGACAACAGCCATGGATTCATTTATCATCACTGTCAATTTGGACAAGTCTACTCATATTTCTCTGCTTATTTCTCTACCTGTGATTTGCTCTAATGATATGGTAAAGGAGGTGCAACAGAAATGTAAAGAAGTGTTTGTTCTGCAATGACTAACTTTAATAGACTTAGCTCTTCTCAGCAATGCAAGGATCTAAGATATCTCCAAAGGTCTCATGATGGAAGATGCTATGCACATCCAGAGAAAGAACTATGGAGTTTGAATGCAGATAGAAGCATACTATTTGCTCTTTTTTTCCTTCTGTTTTGTTTGTTTCTTCTTTCTTGTGGTTCATCCTATTGGTTCTAATTCTTCTTTACAACACGACTAATGTGAAAATAAGTTTAATAGGAACATATATGTAGAGCCTATATGAGATTGCATGCCTTCTCAGGGAGGGAGGTGGGGAGAGAGGGGGAAAAAATTTAAAACTCAAAAGCTTAAGGAAGTGATTGTTGAAAACTAAAAAATAAATTAATTTTAAAAAATAAAGAACAGGACACTAAAAAAAGAGAGAACTGCTCTCTGCCTTTTTTTTTCTTATGCCCTTTCCATGGGGAAGAGGTAAGAAAAGGGATTTCTCTCTCCTCTCCAAATAGTGGTGTCTTGCAGTGGGACAACTTGTCCAGTAGGAGATGCAGCATCCAATTAGAAAGAAGCAGGCCCAGGAAGCCCAGGGGAAAAGTGTGAGGTCAACACAAAAAGACATTAGAACCCTTCAGTGCTGAAAGAGTGAGTTGCCATGTATATTACATACATAAATGTCTCTCTACAAGTATAATCTAGGTATAAGCTCATTCTTCCTATGGACAGCATATTTATAAGAAAGTATAGCCAAGTTTCTGGGGAAAATTTTGTTACTATTTTTTATGATATGTCATTTCATTAAATTCTCTGAAGTACAGATCCACAGAGTACCTTGAATCTGGGGTGGTCATCCCTTTTAGAACACTCAACCTTTAAGTGTGAAGTGTGGAAGAAAAAACCAGAAAAAGTGCTACACAACCAGGAAGATCATGGTAGAGATGAAATAGAATATTCCTTCAGATACTTTGAATAACAAATACCCTTTGGTTGAGGTACAAGCAGTACTGAGTTGTAGCAGGTAATATTAAAGCCAGGCTCTAAAATAAATTATTTCCTCTCTCTCTCTCCTCAAACTATATTGCTATTTATCAATTCAAGACAAGTCAACAAGAATTAAGCACTTATTATGTGAGAAGCACTGTGTGAAGTGCAAGAGATACTCTCAGACCCTCGAGGAGCTAACAGTCTAATGGGGGAGAAAACATGCAAAGGACTATGCAAATGCAAGATACAGACAATGTAATATGGAAGTAATCTTAGAGGTAAGATACTAACCTCAGAGTCAGGAGGGATACTGGGAAAGGCTTCTTGCAGAAAGTAAGATTTAAAAGCTGAAACTTAAAGGAAGCCAGGAAAGCCAGGAGGCAGAGGAAAAGTGAGAAAGAATTACAGGCATTGGTGATAGCTACTGAAAATATACAGTTGGGAACTCAAGCATCTTATGTAAGGAAAAGCAAGAAAGCCAATCATTGGATTGTAGAGTACAAAGAGGTAAATAAAGTATAAGGCTGGAAATATAGGAAGGGGAAATGTTGTGAAGGGCTTTCAGTGCCAAATGATGAATTTTATACGTGATCCCAGAGGTAATGGTAAACTAATTGAGTTTATTTATTGAGTAGGGGAGTGACATGATCAATTAGAAAGATCACTTTGACAACTGAGTATAGACTACACTAAAGTGAAGAAAGACTTGAGGCAGGGAGACAAACCAGGTTATTGCTACAGTTGGCTATAATGTGATGAAGGTCTGCACCAGGGTTTCAGACGAGATGAGAAGTATTCAAGAAATGTTACAAAGACAGAATTGACTAAAATTGACAACTAATTGGATTTGGGGAATGAGAGAGAATGAGGAACTGAAAACAACACCTAGGTTTGAGTCTAGGGGACTGGAATTATTATGGTACCCTTGACAGTAATAGGGAAGTTTGAAAGAGCAGAGAACATAAAGTAAAAGCAATGAGTTTTGAATATGTTGAGTTTAAGATGTCCACTTGAAGGGGCAGCTAGGTGGCGTAGTGAATAGAGCTCTGGCCTTGGAGTCAGAAGGACCTGAGTTCAAATCCAGCCTCAGGCACTTAACACTTACTAGCTGTGTGACCCTGGGCAAGTCACTTAACCCTGATTGCCTCATCAAAAAAAGCAAAAAATAAAAATTAAAAAAAAGATGTCTATTTGATATCTAGTTTGGGATGTCTAAAAAGCAGCTGGAGAAGTAAAACAGATTAGGAGACAGCTTAGGGCTAGATAAATAGATTTGAAAATCATCTCTATAGAGATGATAATTAAATCCACGCGAACTTAAGCGATAATCAAAGAAAATGTTATAAAGATGAGAAGAGGGCCCAGGACAGAGCCTTAGACAAGTCAATAGGAACAACCTAGATGAAGAGTCAGCAAAGGAGGTTAAGAAGCAGGCAGATAGGAGGAGAACCAGGAGACAGCAAACTAATAAAAACCTAAAGAGAAAAATGTTTTAAGGGGAAGGTGGTCAACAGTGTCAGTGACTGTAGATTAGTTAAGAATGATGAGGATTGAGACAAATTATTAGATTTGTCAATTAAGAGATCACTGTTAACTTTGGAACAAGCAGTTACAGCTGAATGATAGGGTCAAAAGTCAGATGTCAGAAAACTAAGAAGACAATGAGAAGAAAGGAAGTGGATGGTATTTTCAAGAAGGTTAGCCACTAAAGGGATTTAAGATATAGAATAACAATTAGCAAAGATGGATAGATCAAGTTAGGAATTTTTGAGGATAACATGGACATGTTATTAAGGTAAGTTAAAATTTATCTCCTGTTTTCAGAAAGTACCAGCAGATGTATGGAGATTTGAAGTTTCTCCATCCCTTGAATACTGCTTTGCAATGAAATTTCACAATTCTATCCAAGTAGTCTATGTCATATGCCTACAACAATATCTTTTTTCTTGCTTTTTTTTTCTTTTTCTAGGCTCATTAATCCTCACTCAAATGCCCTCCATCATGTGGAGAACTAAGGTTCTTGGATTTCCTCCAATGAACATGTATTCTTAATACATAATAACTCTATCTCTTCTTATATATCCTATTTCCTTTGAATTAGGTGTACCTTTCTAGAGTCAAATGCCAGTCACAAATCCTGTCCTATCACATCTTCAATAACAGTAAAGTCAAATTTTCCTCCTCATATTGGAACATATATTTTCCATTTATTACCCACACTTCGTGCATTTGTTAGTAGACATCTGAGGCCATGGTTTTATTGCTCTTCTCTTCTTAGATAAGTCTCTCATGAATTACTAGTTTTCTCTTTCTCTATTTTTCGATCTATATTGTATCTGCTACTCTGTATAACATAAGGCTTATAAGATCTTACATGGGCAGTTTTTCTACCTCCATCTTCACTTTAAACTTAAGATCCTCTTAATTAGATTTTCAAGATTGGCTGTAGCATATTATCAAAAAATGAACTGCAAATAAAAAGTGCTAGAGCATCAAAGAGATACATAACTGAAAAAAAAAGAGGTGGTCCTTCACATCATGTAATGAAAGCAAGTGATAGGACATACCACATGTTCTAACAGGATCTATAATATGTTACGATTCCTCAAAGACGACATCCAGCATTTGGGTAGAATTTCCACAGAGGATTTATAGAAACACATAGACTAGAACTGCAGAGAACGGAAAGGTGTGGAGGTAATCTGAAGTGTTGGAGAAAGTACCTATATCAATGAGATTATAGAGTCACTGAAATTCTGGGGTAAAAGACAGATTTTCTCAAATGAGGCAAGAAATAAGATGTAGTTGAAGAGAGAATCCTGGGAAGATGGTGGAGTAGGTCAGAAAACTTTAGACTCTCCAAATTTCCTCCACAAAAAAAGACAGAACATAGACTCAGAGTGAATGTAGAGCAGTAGAAATTGACAACAGTCAAAGTAGAGCAGTTGCCCTCCTAAGATAACTTGAGAAGACCCCAGAAAAGATCCCACCTCCAGGGATGAAAAATTAGTCTGAGTAAAGTGCAAACACCTCCAAGCCAATTCTGGGGAAATCAACAACAAGAAGCCCTGGGGGAAGCTGGGTTGGGAGGCAGCTTCAGCCTCAGGAACTTTCACCTCACGGATAATGTAAAGTTCTGATGGCTAAATAGGAGAATATTGAAGGACCTTCCACTGTCAAGAGATGCCAAGCACAGCTGTGCTGACCAGACATGGTCCTGAGCTGCAGCTGTGGGGGAAATAAGAGTAAGAAGGACCTGATGCCTGGGGCATCATTCCCCCCACCTTAGGACTAGAATCATTATAATAATAAGCTGCTAAAAATAAAATAAAACAAAATAAAAATGAATAAGCAAAGGAGAGAGAACCCAACCACAGATATCTACTATTGGGATAGAGAAGATCTGGGTTCATATTCAGAGGAAGACAGAGGAACTTTAAAAAAGTCACTCCTTTTTCCATGAGAAATATCAAATGAACACAAACCCAAAAAGAGTTCCTGGATGAACTTTAAAAGGATTTTAAAAATAAGAGAGATCGAGAAAAAAATATGGAAAAAAATAAGAGCAAT